GACAATGTAGCAAATGCATAGGTGACCTCCCCTATCCACCTCTCTTGCCAGTGGGATATTGTGGACAGCAAGGCAGGAGTGGCAGGTTGCTGTGGCCATGTTAAAGTAACCATGTTAAAGTAACCGAAAACCGTGTAGTAACCGTCTTCAATCCAAGAGTTCGGTAATATTCCGACAGAGTATGCGTTCCATCACTTTTTATTGAACTAGTTCGGCAGATCAGCCTGTAGTTTGAAACATCCTTTCTTGAGAATTGGTCGTACTAAACCAACTTTCCATAGGCCAGACACTTCTCCTTTTAGCGGTGCATTATTGAAAAGTATCGTTAGAGGAGAGGTAGGGCCCAAGGCAGCTTCCTTGAGAAAAACATAGAGGATCTCGTCTGGTGGTGGATATTGTGTTTGGAGGCTTGCGTAGGGCATTGTAGACTACGTTGCAGTTTATATCCACCCCGTCAAAGACATCGTTTGTTCTGGCAGCAAGTTTCCACCTGCGTCACAAGCCCTTCTATAAAATAACCCATAATATTTCGCGAACAGGTCGGTTCTGTCATCGGTAATAGTAACATCGGTGAAAATAAGATTTGGTATGCCATGAGTTGTGGTATGCTTTTTGTACCTGGCATTGTAAACAGATCTGTAAATAGAGTGAAGGTGATCGACTTTTGATTTGAGAGAAAGTATGCGCTCCAAACTTATCTTTATGTCTCACCGTTGGAACAAATTTTTCAATCAGAAGCTTGCATATGTTAGTAAACTCCTTATAAAATGCATCAATAGTTTCGCAGAAATTATTGAGGCTTATCCAGTCCCAGTCAGTAAGCGTCTCACTGATTGACTCAAAATCACCCTTGGAAAAACATCTAAATAGCTCGGATTTGTTTGAAACGCTGACAAGTGTGTCAGCAACCTCGAAACTGATACAGTTGTGGCCTGGTGTACTAAAAGGAGGAAGCACACGAATGTTACTTACCATAGACTGCTCGAAAACCAACACGATATCTAAAATGTTTAGTCAGTGGGTAGCCTCAAGCACCATTTGCAGGTGAAAGGAGTGAGCAAACCTAAGCATAGCGTCAAAAGACGGTGATGACGCGTTTTTTATATGGCTGACGGTGCTACAATCAGATATGGGAAAATTAAAATCTCCTAGTATCATAGTTTGATCGCTGCACTCTGCATACAGACTACTAGAAACCCAATGAACTCGAAAAAGGAGGGTTTAACACATGAGGGGCTACGATAAGCTGAATCTACAAGCATTTTTGGCCGGGAACTTGAGTTGAAAAAGAACGGATTGGATATGCCCATTAATGTCTTTTTTGGTCACAAAAAGATGGAAGTTGAGTTGATTAGTGCAATCACTCCACCTATTCTTTCGCCCTCGCATCTGTAATCATTGTAACTGAAGCACTGACTTAATATGGCGTCATGGGTGGACCACGGTTTGTATCAACTCTCGGTAATGAAAACCCCGTCGGGCTTATCGCGTAATATGAACTCAATGTTTTCAAATTTACTTACAATTGAGCGGGCGTTGAAAGGCAAAAAGCGACAATGGGAACTACGCAACGGTCGATAAATGTGACCAGACCGTGCGTGCGTGCATTTGCTCCCTCCTCGCCCTAGCGGGTGTCCTCCACTTCCTTGATCCCTGAGTAGAGCACTGATCCCTTAGTGGTGATAGATGGAACTGTTGACTGTGACGAGATGTAGGCAAATCCCGCGGATTCATGAGCTTGTATGTCGCAAGGTCTCGTACTACATACGCCAGTTTTCCCTCTTGACTGTTTATGAGGCCAGCCTTCCTTCGCAACGCACGATCGAATTTTATCTCTACTTTTGTAAAGACTGACCGCGCGTATGAATGTACAAACTCTTTGATTAGAGAGTGACGCGCACACTTCATATGTCCGGTCTCTCAGTTCCTGATTCTTCAAACTGATCTTGATGATGAGTGGGCGGGTGTCTGTGGCTCACTGGTTCCTCGCTTTAGGGTGCCTATGGAAGTCGGTGCGGTTGCTTTTAAACTCAACGAGAAGTTCACGGTCTCTTGAAATTTCCACAGCCTCCTCATGCCTCCCTGTCGGAAATGCGCGTCGCCTTCTACGTGACTTTCTCCGCAGTGCCTATCCATGTAATCCTACAAGACTTTTCATCGACAACTCTTGCGCCCGACCTGAATTTTGCGAGTTCGCTATATAATTTAAAAAGGTCAATAACATTAAGACTCATTAAAAAATAAAAAACTAAAATGGTGGTTCGTTTCGCCTCTTACATCCAGACGAACCACTTTGTTCTTCGCCAACCCCGAGGCTCATCAGTGGATGAAGGCTGGCGAAGAACAAAAAAAGTTAAACATCAATTTTAATCAAAAACCAATAACAAACGAACGCGAACAAGAACGAACAAATAAGCAATAACACCGAACGCGCAACCGAACGAACAAACAACAATAACAAAGAACGCGAACGAAAACGAAAAGAAAGGCAAAATATAATTGACGATGAGGACATGGATAGGAACGGGAATTAGGATGTGAGTAACAAGAGTAACACAGTAAGAAAAAACTTAGGTTTGATACTCAGTCGAACATCGCAACTCGATATAGTTAGAGCGCGTTACCGTCGACAGTACCAAACTATAGTAAAAGGGAAGGAAGTAAATAAAAAACAACATACCTGTGAAGTAATTAGAGGAAGGTTAACTAGTAAATATCCCATTACATAACTTTGCATTAGAAATAATTATAAGAAGCATGTATATATGTATGTATGTATGTATGCATGTATGTATATATGTATGTATGTATGTATGTATGTATGTATGTATGTGTGTATGTATGTATGTATGTATGTATGTATGTATGTATGTATGTATGTATGTATGTATATATGTATGTATGTATGTATGTATGTATGTATGTATGTATGTATGTATGTATGTATGTATTTATGTATGTATGTATGTATGTATGTATGTATGTATGTATGTATGTATGTATGTATGTATCTATGTATGTATGTCTGTATGTATGTATGTCTGT